ACAATAAGGTGTCCCCAGAGCCTTCTCTTCTCCGGGCTGAACAACCCCAATGCTCTCAGCCTTTCTTCATAGGAGAGATGTTCCAGTCCTCTGGTCATTTTCATGGCCCTTCTCTGGACCTGCTCCAACAGGTCCATGTCTTTCTTGTACTGGGGACCCCAGAACTGGATACAGTACTCCAGGTGGGGTCTCATGAGAGCGGAGTAGAGAGGAAGAATCACCTCCCTTGACCTGCTGGCCATGCTTCTTTTGATGCAGCCCAGGATACGGTTGGCTTTCTGGGCTGCAAGCTCACATTGCCTGGCTCTAATATCTAATTTTCCATCCACTGTTATCCCTAAGTCCTTCTTTGCAGGGTTGCTCTCAATCAATTAATCAATTCAGTGTTAATAAATACATAGAAGTTCATGTGACCAAAAAAAAATTCTAACTATACAACAAGATCAAAGAACCTGTCAGAACAGACAAATAATAGTAATGGGAGAGTCCAATTATCACAGACTGGCTAAATAACGTGTTTTTTGAATACCATATTGAGTTCTTGTCATCTCACCTCTGAAGGAATACTGTAGAATACTCTGTAGAAACAGAAAAGGTACAGAAGTGTTATCAGAAATATTGGATCTATAGGAAGAGAGACTTATCACTATGGAATTCTTCAGCTTGGAAAAAGAAACAACGGAGAGATGATTTGACAGAAGTTTGTAGCATCTCAAACAGGAGATGGTGAATAAGGAATGATGGTTTATCAATTCCCCTAGAACAAGAACAAAGAAGTAACTTACCATGCAACTGGCACAAAATTAGTCCACGAAAATGGGGGGGGGGGTATGTTTTTCATTATAGACAAATTGATTAATGCTTTACTATCAGACATTATGAAGCCAAAAATTTAGTGGTTTTAGAAAGGGATTAATTGAATGTCTAAAGGATAGAGATGTTAAGTACATATTATCTACAACAGCTTAGATGTAACCTTCAACTCAGGAAGGCTCTGGGACAGATACCAGGTAAATATATCAGTTAAGGATTTAATTATTTAATGTATACTTTTCCATGTTTACTACACCCTGGCTTTAAGCATCCAGTGTAAATATTGGCAGAGACAGAATACTGGGCAAGATGGAATGACTCTTTAGACCCAGTGTGTTAGTCTGGGTCTGTAATATAGGCTGTTCCTATATTACAGCCTCTGCTGCAAGTAGAAGGGAAGAAAAGAGTGTCTTTAGATGCTGAAACAGCATCATGAATCCATCGTGAATCTGCAGTGAATAAAATAAACTTGAAAATGTGCGTCAACATCCTATGTACCTCTGAATGCAGCAGAAGGACAAACAGGTTAGAAGTACACTACGAGGCTACAGCAGATGCAAAAGTACTCATCTCAAAAGTTTGCAATGTATGTGCATGCTGTGAACAAGGAGCTGGAAAAGTTTTAAAAAGAGAATAGGAAAAGCCAGCCAATTGTTTCAGATAGCTTAACATCTACTTTTCTAGACAAACAAATTAGCCTTCAACAACAAGGGCCATATGCTCCTCTACCAACAAACTGGAAAGGACACAATGAATCTACAAAGCTTTTGACCTGTTGAGCAAGTTTGCAGTGGAGTCTGGGTCCACCCACCTAGCACCATGGTGAAACATCCATCGTGTAATATGAGGAGTTGTTAGGATCAAGGTTGGAGCATACAGAATCCTGGCAGCCACTCGGAAGGACTTAAAAAGGGCCAAAACAGGCATGAAGTCATTGTGCTACTTATTCCCCACATACAGAACATGACAGGCAGGGTTTCTTTTCATGGAAATTTCAGCTCTGTAGTGAGAGCAGAGGGAGCATGTAGGGAGTGAGGAGAAGAGGCAGAGATCATTCACTGGAGTTGTATGGGAATAAGATTGTGCGTATAAATGTGTTTAATTGAATGAACAAGAAACTACACAAGGACTGGCGGGATGGGTAGGGTTTGTTTTCCATTACTCTGCAGAGATACAGGATTCTCAGAAATTTTCCAGCTGTTGTTCCTTGAGGCCTTGGAGGGCTTTCCACTGCAGGCTTCCTTTTCTAGCAAACCATTCAGCCTCATTTTCCTTTCTTACATAAAAGACAACCCCCAGGCTAGCAGAAACAGAACAACAGACTAGTTCAGCATAGATCTCAATTAGAACTACCGAGGTCACAATATACTTACTACCCTAATCTCATGCAAATTCAGGTAATATATTTCTGGTTGAGAAAGATTATGATAAGGGAATAATAAACTGATTACTTCAGAGCAACGAAGAGAAAATTGCCTGCTGTTAAAACACAGGCAGAATCTTTGATATTTGAGCATACAGTAAGGAAAGCGTTGCAATGATTTTGTAACTGTATATTTAATGTAAATAGAGAGTTGTAAAATGTGATTTACAGTATTAATTGAGATGCCTACCTCTCCTTTTTTGACTATAAAGGAAGCATTGGTGTATCATCACTCACATACACAGGCTGAGGGGCTGGAACTACTTAGTGGAAAGCCCTACAGAGAGGAGCGTGTCATAATTGGCTCCTGAATCATCAGAATGATGATTCCTCTCCTGCATATCAGTACCTAAGCACTGGGGAAGGTAGCAGCAACCTCCTTTTGCACAGTAACTTTGTGGCTCAAGCTAATGATCAGGAAGTTGAAGACCTGGGACTCACAACAGCTCCTAAGTCTTGAATGACCAGGCTACAGGATTGTAAAATGCTTTTTACCACCCCCACTGCAGCTGGACCTCATGCAGAAGAGAATGAAAGATTCATTGGATCAGCAACAGATGAAGTTTAGGGCAGCTTTGATTCTGTAACCCAGTAAGAAGTGGATTTCTCTGGCACAGCAGAGACGTACATTGTGACCCCTGCTTCCAATGTTCATTACATATTTAATGATGCTTAGGTGGATATTGAACAATGAGTCCCTAGAGCAGAAACTCATTCTGCCCTAAAACAATCGTTATAGTTGCAAAAGAAAACCACTGTTCAGCTCCCCTAGCCTGACAACAGCATGTTACTCTGCAAGTTCCAGGCTCCTGAAGTGATCTTCAGATCATAATATCTGCTCTGTGGGGTCATATCAAATGTTTGTGTATCTAAAAATCTTGTCTCCAAAAGCAGCCTCTACAAATGCCCAGTGAAGTGCAGGACAGGAGGAACAGATAGCTCTTAGAGTACTCATCACAATGCAAATGGGCTTCATCCAAAAGCCACTGAGCTGAATAAAAGTTCTCCCACTCACTATTCTTCTTGGTTATTAAAAACACAGCAATTCAAGGCCCAGCAAGGTGATGCATATCTAAGATGTGAACCCAGATACCAAACTTGCATATGAATTTGAACATCTCCTTCTAGTACATGCCTAGATAGAGCACAATTACACAGCCTGGAAGAAATTGTTTGTGCTACTTATAAAACGCCGAAGAAGAGACTAACAAAAAAATCCATTGATTAGGAAAAGACTAAATTGAAAATCTCTTAAAGTGTTCATCAATATTCTCTATCAGAGACTGCAACTGCCTGCCTTTTGCTGTCAAGAACATCAAACTAAGTTTGCACACCTTTCAGATTTAAAATGGTATTTATAAGGATTTAAATTCTGAAAAAACAATGCATTTCACTGCAATTTCTGAATCAGCACTGTCCCATTAACCCAGCAGGAGGAATCAGCTGGCACAAACACAAAACTCCTTCTCATTATCTCTGTCAACTAATATAGTAAAGTCAGGAGGAAACATCCTACCTCACAGGTGACAGAGCTGAACCTACAGAATTTTTTGAGGCCTGATCAGATGAGCTAATAATAATGTGATTGTAACCACAATGCTTTTAACATATGAAAGGGAAGATTTATAGGAAAAGATAATATTTTTATTAGTACAAATTTTATATTTGAAAAAAGAAACATGTTTTTTTGGAATGCAAGCCCACCTTCAGGTCTGAAACCAAAGCCTTTTACTGATCACAGAATGGCAGCTCTGAAAAAATGCTCTTACCTTGCACCATTTTCTTTGCAGCAGAACTGGGAAAAAAAAGGCTCCTCTTTCTCAACACAGCTTATTACTCAGAAAAAAAACACTAATAATAAATTACATAGTTAAGATTAATTATATCATGCATAAACAGCCAATGAACTTAAAAGAAAATCATATAGTACTTTAACACTTAGAAATAGAAAAACCCCAGTGGATATAGGCTTGTGCACCTTCACAACATTTCTCACCTGTAATTTTCTGTTACCTGCCCCACTCCCTTCCTCTCACTACACCTTACGAGTCCTTGCGTGTTCTTTCAGTAATGTATCTTCTTCCCATGGTTCTCTACAGCCTACTTTATGTATCCCAGTAATGTTTCCTTCTTACCCTTACGCTGTCATACACTGCACCTTAACATTAAGAAAGGTTTCCTGGACTTCAACAATTTTTTCTCATTTTTTATTTACCCTTCTATTACTGTCTGGGGTTTTTTCACCTTAGACAATACCTATTTCATGCCAGTAGTGGAAAGGTAGAGATATGAAAGCTCCTTGGTGACTCTTAGATCTATTTTACACACACACAAAAGTTCAACAAAGTTGCTCATAAGAATATAAATTTTCTTTCCAAGGTTTCCAAGCCTGCCTTCTTATGATAGCATTTCATGCTGTTAAATCTGCATTTCCTGCCACGAGTTTTGCCTCAGGCAATCTGGTATTATTGCAAGATGACTGTGATCTGTCACAGGATCATGAGGAGGCTAAACTGTTCGTTGTGGATAAGCCCAAAAGTTTGAAAAACACCAAAGGGCAATATTTGGATTGTCTTTCATGCCAAATCTGTGAAGGCCATTGAGAAGGATATTGAGCTACTTCAAGTCTTTCAAGATGTTGGACTGGAAGCTGGAAAAGGGAACTGGCGTTTATTTGTTCCTACGTTTGAGGGTTCATTTTCATCAGATAGTTGCAACCTCTTTCAGATAGCTGTAGCTTTGGTATTCATTAATATTTGCCCATTTAACAGATTTCTGTGATCCTCAAAGATTGCTGCCAAGAGAAGTAATCATCTGATTTCAGGTTTTTGAAAAGCTGAATAGCCTGCATTTTTGATTCATCCTTTTCCTTGCCAGTCATGGATTCATCATCAGATACAGGCTTCCCAGGTGTTGTCTTGCCTTCAGAAGGTTTCTTTACTTGGTGGTCTTCCTGACTAATATCCATCTTCATACTGGATTTTAGGCTGTGGAAGCAATAGTCACCAACCTGGCAAAGGAAGAGTGGCTCAGTACTGTCAGGGTTTAACACCACCAAGTTACCCTCTGACAAAGGCTGCTTTCTAGGAAGATCGTTTCCCTTCTGTAAGACAGGCAAAGAAATCTTTGAGGGTTCTGAATGTCCGTGGAGACCTAAAGGGACAGTAAGATAGTCTCCAAATGTATCCAGGCGCAATTCAGAAGAGGTTGGTGCTTGACCTGAAACTGGGACCACGACACCAGTTTTCCCAGGAGAAAACTCATGGCAAGCGTGGTCACTGGGGGCCTGGGGCTCCTGTGAGTCACAAGGTAACTCCCCAGCAGTGACAAGTGGCAGATGGGTGGAGTCGCTGGCTGATGGCAATGACAGGCTCTCTGTGGTGATGTACTCCAAGGGGCACTGCTGAGGGGAGGTGATACAGCTAAGAGCCTTTGGAGATTTCTGCTCTTCTGTTCTCACGTTCGTGCCTTTCCCACAAGCTGGTGGGGCCGGTGAGACTTCTTTCTCATTGTCGAGGTGCTGCATCATTTCCTTCTGATCTGGGAGCAGGAAGGGCTGTGGAGGAGCTGCTGCTGGCTGTTCTTGCCTCTGTGGAGCCTGGGGACAGTCTTCCTTTGGGAGGGTCACATACTGAAGGGAAACTGATTTCTCACGGACTCCCATTGGGTCCACTGCCAGGGTCTGATGCATATCAGGCTGGGAGGACATCACTGGGCTGTACAAGTATGGACCATTGAAAGCAAAGCAAGGGATTGCTGTCTGGGAAGTAATACTTGCATCAGCACTGTTTCTCCTTGAAACAGGAAAGGAATGACCAGCAATCTGACTTGAGCAGACAGCTGGGTTATGCTCTGGCTCATTTAAAGCATGGTATAAGTTCTGTAGGTCCAGTGCAACAGGAGAATCATCTGTCTTTTTAACCTGCCCTTCAGAGGACTCTGCCAAAGTCTTCGTCTGCCTGAATGTGGGAAAGTTAAAAGTTGCTCACGAGAGATATTATTGTGGTAAACATCAAATATAAAACAAGCTTAGTTGAAAACACACATAGCTACACATAGGGTTAGAAAAAATCTTTCTTGGAGAAGCAGGCTAGCCCAGATAGCAAAAAATTGTATCCCTTCCTCAAAAGCAACTTGTATAGGCTTTTTAGTAACAGAAGATTTGATTATATCCTTCCATGACTTAGGGAGCTCTTTGAGACTATCCTCCACAGTGTCACTATAATGTGCTGTTCACTCACCTGTCCACAACTTGAAGGAAGCTAGCCTGCTCCATCTTCTCTGAAAAGTTGTATTTGTTGAAGTCCAGCTGGCTGCTTGTTGGCCAGTTTCCTAAATGTACCTTCTGAAAACGAAAAAGCAGACATGACAAAAGAGCAGTGTTTCACTGGCAGTAGAATCAAGAACCATAGATGCCTCATGGACAAAGAAAACAATTAGGAGAGCCTACAGCATCTGGCAATAGGGATACAACTTCACTAACATGACTAGAAGGGTGTTACTTCAAACCCGTATTGCCTTACCACTGATCTAACTACAAGTACTCAGTGAGCCAACTAGGAAAGATGCCCTCCTAGACTTGTTATTTGTGGACAGAGAAGGACTCGTGGGAGATGTGATGGTAGGTGGCTGTCTTGGCCACAGTAATCACGAAATGGTTGAGTTTAAAATTTTCAGAGCTATGAGAAAAAAGGACAGCAGAGTTGCTACCCTGGATTTCAAGAGAGCAAACTTTGAGCTATTCAGGGAGCTACTTAGCAGCGTCCACTGGCAATCTGCTTTTAAGGGCTTGGGAGTCCATGAGTGCTGGTCAGTTTTTAAAACCACAGGAGCAGGCAGTTCCAGTGCGTCGTAAGTCAAGCAAGCTGGGCAGATGACCAGCTTGGCTGAACAGGGAACTCCTTCTGGAGCTCAAGAGGAAAAAGAAATTGTATGATCTCTGGAAGCAAGGTCAGGCTTCGCAGGAAGATTACAGAGCTGTGGTTCATATATGCAGGGAGAACACACAAGAGGCCAAAGCTCAATTAGAGTTGAAGCTGGCCAGTGTTGTATCAGACAAAAAGAAGGGCTTTTTAAAGTATGTTAAAAGCAAGAGGAGGTCTAAAGAAAACATTAGGCCAATACGTGTTGACGATGGTCACCTGACTAATAGGGAAGAAGAAAAAGCAGAGGCATTCAACGCGTTTTTTGCCTCAGTCTTTAATAATACTGATAGACCTTGGGCTGCCCAATCCTCTGAGCCGGAGGACCATGAGTGTGGGAACAGTGACTTTCCATTTGTGGACACTGAAATTGTAAGGGACCAGCTATATCAGCTGAATGTTCATCAGTCCATGGGGCCTGATGGGATTCATCCCAGAGTACTGAAGGAGCTAGTGGATGTTAAAGCAGGACCCATCTTGATCATCTACCAAAGATCTTGGGAGCCTGGGGAGGTCCCTGCTGCCTGGAAGCGAGCCAATGCTATTCCAATTTACAAGAAGGGCATGAGGGAAGACCCAGAAAACTACAGACCTGTTAGTCTAACCTCAGTTCCTGGAAAAATTATGGAGAGGATCATACTGAGTGCTATTGAAAGGCATTTAAAGAGCAATGCAATCATCAGGCACAGTCAACATGGGTTCACAAAGGGAAAGCCCTGTTTAACTAATTCGATATCCTTCTATGATAAGGTCACCCTCATAGTGCATGAAGAGAAGGCAGTGGATGTAGGTTTTTTTTATTTTAGTAAAGCTTTTGATACTGTCCCTCACAGCATCCTTCTGGACAAGTTATCCAACTGTGAGATAAGCAGGTACACAGCGTGCTGTGTGAAGAACTGGCTGAAGGGCAGAACTCAAAGTATTGTAGTGAATGGGGCTCCATCTGGCTGGTGATCAGTCACCAGTGGTGTACCTCAGGGCTCAATTCTAGGGCCAGTTCAGTATTTTTATCAATGATCTGGATGCAGGAGTTGAAGGCACTGTTAGCAGTTTGCAGACGATACCAAACTTGGAGGTGCTGTTGACTCTCTTGAGGGATAAAAGGCCTTGCAGAGGGATGTAGATAGATTGGAGCATTGGGCAATCATCAATGGAGTGAAATTTAACAAGTCCAAATGCCGGATTCTGCACCTGGGACAGAGTGACGCTGGGCACAAGTATAATTGTGCACACAGTGTACCCTGGCACCCAAGAGGGCAAACAGCATCCTGGGGTGCATCAAACACAGCATAACCAGCTGGTCAAAAGAGGTGATTATCCCGCTGTATTTAGCAATGGTGTGGCCTCACCTTGAGTACTGTATGCAGTTCTGGGCCCCACAACTTAAGAAGGATGTTAAGGTACTCGAATGCATCCAGAAGAGGGCAAAAAGCTGGTGAAAAGGCTGAAAGGAAAGTCCTACAAGGAGCAGCTAAGGACTTTGGGTTTATCTAGTTTGGAGAAAAAGAGGCTGAAGGACAACCTCATTGCTCTCTACCACTTCCTCAGGAGGGGAAGTGGAGAGCGAGTTGCTGATCTCTTCTCCTGGGTATGCAGTGATAGAACGCGTGGGAATGGTTCAAAGCTGAACCAGGAGAGGTTTAGGCTGGACATTAGGAAGCATTTTTTTACTGAGAGGGTGGTCAAAGACTGGAACAGGCTTCCTAGAGAGGAGGTCAATGCCCCAAGCCTGTCAGTGTTTAAGAGGCATTTGGACAATGACCTTAATAATATGCTTTAACTTTTGGTCAGTCCTGAAGTGGTCAGGCAGTTGGACTAGATGATCATTTTAGGTCTCCTCCAACTGAACTATTCTATTCTATTCTATTCTATTCTATTCTTACATAGCATAGGGGACAGGAGCTGCTCCCTTAAAGAGCTCATAGAGATGCTGCAGGTTCCTACCATAATAAACATCAAAGCTACTGCTTTGTGCAGTGTCTACTCTTTCCAGCACCATATGGGGACACTATTTCACCTATAGAGGTATAATGACTGTCCTTCTGTACCAGCTGACCAGAGAAATAGAATTACTGAGAATTACTGTTTACAAAACTTAGGATAAGGTAATTCAGTGCAGAGAAGGAATCTTTCAAAACCATGAAACTAAGGCAGTGAGTGCTTGTGGATGGAGAAACAGGTAGGGGATAGGAAAAAAAGCTCTTAAGGTGCTTCTTAGAGTGGGAAAAAGTTTCCAGTTTTTACTGTAGAGATCAGGCAAAAGAAACTAACTTGAGACTTTAGCATAAGTGTAACCAGTTTGTCTTCTGGCACAGAGAAACCATGCCTAGTCTTTGCCATCTATTCGAAAATCATGTATTAAACCAGGTCATCACAATGAAAGTCCATTTTACAGCAACGTAACAAATGTGCAATGATTAACAAACACGTTAACTCATTTACTCACACACAAATGTAGATACTGTAAGTGCTCATTCGCCTCACACAAAGGCCATGTTGTAAATTATACTCATTAGATTGCCATGTATCTATACTTACTGTAACCCATCCCTTATGAACATAGAATAGAATCAACAGTTATAGAAAAAAATGTCTCTTTGTGTGTGTGTGTGTGTGTATTGGGGTGGGCACATTACTGAATTAGCTACTCTTGCAAGACCGGAAGACTTTTAGCACCAAAATCCAGAGATGCGTATACCACCCTTTCCAGATGTTGGGTTTTTTTGGAAGGGAGGAAGAAGGGAGGGAGGTTCTGCTTACACAGCTTTGACCAAATGCTCTCTAAGTGTGTTCCTCGATTTCCAATAAAGCATGCTTGTCCTGGTAACAGACAGGCATGTGGTAACATTTATTACAGAAAATCCAGCACCTTAAAATAAAAGTTTGTATAATAGGGCTACTACCCCATTCTAAAAAGCTCGGAATTAGTAGTGTTGATTACTATTTGGATATGAATGAAAGCACCAGCTTTCATTGATGAAGTTTGCTAATGACACTAGATTATTTCAGTCAGTTAAAATTTTAAAGTACTGAAAATTTTCTAGCTTGATTTTAAATCACAGTGATGCTGACAAGCACAACACAAAGAATAGTGTAAATATAAGATCACAGAATATAACCAGAACTTCTCCTAAAAATAAGGCATAGACTAATGAAGATATCTGTTCATTTTGGACTAGAAGACAAGACGAGCTCTTAAGATTTATTGAAAGTCCTGAAAAAGAGAGAGAAATAATGAACCCTTGAAGGTACAGTTCCCTCTTACCCCCCGGTAGCTCTGGA